GGCCCTGGCCCTGTCGTCCCTCAGGGCGGAAAGGGGGCGCGGGCATCGACGGCGCCGGAACGCGCCTGGATTGCGTTTCAAACTGTCTCCTCAGCGCCCGTCTCAGTGGGGAAAGGTCCGTAAAGAAGGCAGTCTGTCAAGAGGTCGAGGAAACCAGGGTCCGGACAGTTCTTAGTAGGCCCTGGAAACGGATTCGTGCTGCAGAAGTTGCGCCAATGGAAACCCGCGGGGCCGGCTGCCCTGCGGGGTGGCATCCACGCGGTGGCCCTGCCGCTGTCCCCTGGGTCCGCCAGACGGGCCAGAACTGTCATCTGCGAAGGCGCGAAGGCCGCCGAGCGAGCATCACGTTCGCGCTCCCTTCCCCTTGGAAAATCCCCGGACCTCGCTCAGAGACCTCCGAGGGCCGGGCAAGGGGCAGCCTGAGCTCGCCAAGACCTCCGCCCACGAGTAGCCCGGCCCTTCCGGCTGGCAGGGCTGGTCAGCCCTTCCGCTGGTTTTTAGGCCTTACCTGGGTTGCAGCACACATAAGGGAGCTGTGGGCCTAGTAGTCAAAAAGCAAAGGGTTGGCTGTTGCTTTCTGGTCCGAAGCCTAGAATGTTAGTAGTCCCTGAACTGCAAGCTGTGGATGGGTAGTGGCCTCTCTGTGCCTGGAGCTGCAGCTTCCCTAGGTAAGACACCCCAGGAATGTTAGTGAAATGAAGGTATGCATGGCAGCAACGGGGCCAAGCTTCCCGGTGCCCGGACACACACCTTCAGCGCGGATAGCTGTTCAGGATGCCATGTGTGAGGGAGTATGGACCCCCACAAGTGTTTATCTCAGTGGTTGCCTGGCCCCCATAGGGACCTGCAGCATAGCTCACTTTTCAAATGCAGGTTCTGGTGAGGGTCACTGGCAAGAAAAAAGACAAAGGGGATGTGGCTAAAAAGGAGCGACACGGTTCCCTCCAACAGGGAAGGCTGCAGCTCTCAGGTGAGCTCTGGCCTGGATTGAGTTTCAAATTGTGTCTCCTCAGCTCCCCGTCTCAGTGGGGAAAGGTCCATAGATAAGGCAGGCTGTCAAAAGATCAAGAAAGCCAGAATCTGGACAGGTCTTAGTAGGCCCTGAAAAAATTGATTAGTGCAGCAGAAATTGGGAAAATTTAAACTCTCACCCAGTGAACCAAATGACTGGTACACGTAAGGGAGATCGTTCAGTTCCAACAGTCGCTTAGCTGCCAAGAGGCCTGGGAGCATGGCCTTTGTCGACAAAGGAATTAGATGTAGACCACATGAATGGAATATATACCAAGTCTGGGTTGGGGGTTAAGGGGAAAAATACATTTTCTTGGCTTTTTTTCCTCTACTCCTGGATATAACTAGAGGAAAAGTTTGCCAACTGTGTTTATCATAGTAACACTCTGTGAAGGTTTTCTACCGATGCCAATGATTATTTTAATAATCACCTTGGTAATAGGATCCAAACACTGGATGTTCAATGTGCTTGCTGTAGTACAGTATTTATGTTAGATGATGAAAAAAGAAATAGGAAAAAATTTTTAAATGTATTGATTTGAGAGAGAGGAAAGGAGAGAGAAACACTGATTTGTTCTATTTATGCATTCTTGTATATGCCCTGCCTGGGGATTGAACCCTCAACCTTGGCATATTGGGACAATATGCTCTAACCAACTGAGCTATCCAGCGAGGGTGGACATTTCTGTTCATTAAAAAAGTTAGAACTAAACAAATGACTTCCATGTCTCGATTTCCAAGGTTTTCCATCTGTTTGTTCCATATAGACACAACCATGCCTGGGCTCTTGGATAAGTAACTGGTCTCATTTTCCCTTATAGAATGGAGGAGACAGAGCACATCTAGACTGAGTTCATATTTCCACACCATCTTCTGTTATAATTGGTGTTTGACAAGAGCTTATCACTCAGACACAGACCTATTCCTTTGGTTGCCAGGCCTTCCAACAATCTCTTGAGTTTGGGCCATCCCCATATTCTACAAGGGTAAATGAGATCTGTTATTTATCTGAGAGCTCATTATAATCCTATCTGTGTGAAATAAAGAGAAAACCATGGAAATCTGGATGTAAAAGTCATGTTTAGTTCTACCTATTTCCCCAAAGGAAATTAGTAGTCCTTAAGGAGTGAGGAATTTCTGTGGAATGGCTTAGGAATGAGAAGATTGAGGAGGGACCATGGAAGCAGGGCTGGTCCCTTTGTATATGGTGAGCACCTTGCCTTCAGGCACTGCCACCCATCTCTGACACTGGAACAAAATTTTGAAACCTAGATTTCAGTAGGGTGTGACTGATAGGAGCCCTGGGTTCTAATCTGAGCAGCCCCCAAGGTGAATGCTTTCTTGTCCATAAAACAGCAGTGGCAGAATAGGTCCACCGAGTTTATCTGCTTAAGGAGGACACCGTGACAATAGTTCAAAGCACTTCAACGGCATGACTTTTACAGCAGTACTGACTGATGAAAAGAGCAAAATGATGTTGAAATTGGAAAATAGTGCGATCTGAACAATTCCTCTTTATGCTTGCAATTTCTATTTATTTTCATCTCATTGGGTTATTGTCCTTTCATTCCATAATGGAAATGAGGGAAAAGGGCCCTCACAGTCCTTACTCTTTGATTACCAAACGTCTTGGAGGCTTTACTTAACTGAATAGTATTTTTCCCTTTCCCATTTCCACCACCTCTCTCAGCATATATTCACTTTGAAAATTATTCAGAATTTGAACAAATGCAATCAGAAAAAGCAGATTCTAATACCAGCTATGCGATGGGTTCATTCTAAGACCTTGGGCAAGCCATTAACCTTCCTTTATCTTAGTTTCCCATCTGTGAAACTGCAGTGATACTTCTGGTTAACTTCACAGAGATAGGAGAGGAAACTCATGATAAGGTGCTTTGAAATACTAATTACTGTATAGATTACAAAATACCATGTGGGTATTTTTGGAAAAATAAAATGTGGTGTTAGTTTGTACACAACTAGAAGATATTTTTGTAACAGAGAGATTACTCTGACACAATATCTGCAACCAGGGTGATACCACTCACAAAACAATGACATCTCATTGCATTTGGATGACAGTGCAACTGCCCAATATGAGAGTTATATTGTCCCAGGCTCAACTAAATAAAAATGTGATAACAAAAATGGATGGGGAAGGGAAGCTTCCATTCCACAAAAATGTGGGATTTTTCTCATACATGCTCCAGAAGAAAAACTATAAGAAAAACTAAACTATAAGTACATTGAACTTCTTAAAAATGAATGCCATTATGTGAGGACAAGTCTGATGAAAGACTAGAATGATCTTGGAGAAATGACCTGATATAAAATTAGACAAATTAGTCAGGAATCCACCAGAAGAGATAAAAAAAAAAAATGCTCTTAATTCCTAACAAAATCAGTAACACTAAGAAATTAGATAGCCATTTGGAAAGTGAAGATCAAGTGCTCAGGGAGGAAAAATGGACTCCAAACCTAAGTTAAAAATAAGAACAGTAGGGCAATCTAAGAAACAGGACAAAAAATATAGACTCCAGAAATATTATAGACCAAGGGTCGGACTTTCTTTCTAATGCTTCCTAAATTCAAAACTTTGAATAAGTTGCTTAGCTTCTCCAAGCCAAATAAATGGGTTGGGAAGTAGAGGGTGATCAGATTTTTCTCCTTGGCTTGTTAGGAATCTCAAGCGAGAAGCTGTAGGTAACTCCTAGCACAGAGTCAGGCTCATAGTGGACCTTCTACTGAAAATAACAACCCCTAACAGTTATTGAGCACTTACTGTGTGCTGTGCACTATTCTAAGCCTTTTCATCTAATGACTCACTTGATCCTATGACCATCCTATGATGTTGCTGCTATCTCTTCTTCCTCAGAGTTTCTGTCTCTGTAGAAGGACTATTCTTTTGGTACTGGAGATATTCCAAGAAAATTAATATTTTATAGACAACCTCTTTTTTGAACATATTAAGAAAGAAAATAGCATTTTAAACTAGCATTGCCTTGCTTCCATGAGGGAAAGTTAATCTAATTTGTCTTGGTACCTAGGAAATTAGGGTGCAGTGAGCACTTGGTAGCACATACATTACAGCAAATGAGGGATTCAGAGTTCGGGACAAAAAGGGCCATAGAAAACAGGTAGTGCTTCAAAACCCCAATCCACTTTCCAGGTCTCAGATTGTAAGCCCCTAAACCAGTGGTTCTCCACCTTCCTAATGCTGCGACCCTTTAATACAGTTCCTCATGTTGTGGTGACCCCCAACCATAAAATTATTTTCATTGCTCCTTCATAACTGTAATTTTGCTACTGTTATGAATCGTAATGTAAATATCTGATATGCAGGATGTATTTTCATTGTTACAAATTGAACATAATTAAAGCATAATAATTAATCACAAAACAATATGTAATTATATATGTGTTTTCCGATGGTCTTGGGCGACCCCTGTGAAAGGGTCATTCGACCCCCAAAGGGGTCGTGACCCACAGGTTGAGAACCGCTGCCCTAGACGATTTGGCCTCTAAACAAAGTGTGCATCGTCTGGATTTCAGGTTTAATGGAAGTTAGTTCCCTTGAGTCAGCAATATGGGAATGATAACTGGCCAGCCAAAGAAGGAAAACAATGGATTAGCCCTTAAAAATGAATTGTATCACTAGTTATTATGAATAGCCCAAATTATGACAGATTCACATGTAAGTATGCCAAGAAAAGTAGCTGTGAGCTATAATACACACAATCATTTATTACCCAAGAGAATTTAGGTGCTAATGTGGATGGTATTGCATCTATGAAATTGTGACACCCACAAAGGATTACAAAATATAAAGCCAAATAAAACATAATAAAACAGAGGGAAATGATTTTGATTATGCAACATTTATACATGGCATTTCATTTTACATTTTCAAATTGCTTTTCAGTCATTGGTTTATTCTTCTCAGCACACCTGGGGAGTACGTCCATGCTGTTATCCTCTGTTCACAGCTGAGTCAACTGAGATTGAAAGAGGCAAAGTGTTTTGTCCAAGAGCACAACAGGGCAGGGTGAGAAATTGTGCGTTCATTCAATCAGGAGTCTATTCGGCACCTACTCTTGGCAAGGCACTGCGTACTGTAGTGCACAGACATGGGTTCTGTCTATGTGGCCTCTGCTTTGCAGGAGGTTGCAGTCTGTTGAGGCAATGAGTGGTTAGTGGGTTATATCTCCAGGAGTGCTCTAGACAGCAAGGACCAGGGTTTAGGGCAGTGATGGCGAACCTATGACACGCATGTCAGAGGTGACACACAAACTCATTTTTTTGGTTGATTTTTCTTTGTTAAATGGCATTTAAATATATAAAATAAATATCACAAATATAAATCTTTGTTTTACTATGGTTGCAAATATAAAAAAATTTCTATATGTGACACGGCACCAGAGTTAAGTTAGGGTTTTTCTTTTTTAAATATATTTTATTGATTTTTTACAGAGAGGAAGGGAGAGGGATAGAGAGTTAGAAACATCGATGAGAGAGAAACATCGATCAGCTGCCTCCTGCACATCCCCTACTGGGGATGTGCCCGCAACCAAGGTACATGCCCTTGACCGGAATCGAACCTGGGACCTTTTAGTCCGCAGGCTGACGCTCTATCCACTGAGCCAAACCGGTCAGGGCA